CGCCACGCCCACGCTCGCGCCAGGGGGCGGGGCGTCGTGAGGGGATAGCGTCAGGGGGCGGGGCGTCGTGAGGGGACGGCGCCGGGGTGGGGTTTAAAGCACGTAACCCTCGCAAATAAACGGGTGTGGTTGGATATATAAGCTCTCTATAGGGGTAATAAATGTATATGTGTGTGCGTTAAATTCATAGCTGTGCGTAAGAAACGTCTATCTGTGCGCAGCCGCGATTTGAATCCACAAACACGGCTTTAAAGAGCTCCCGCCCCTCAGGTGCTGCCGTTTTGTGGTTACTCCTGAAAAGCGCTGTTTTCACCCCAAAAATGGAGCCGGGCCCCGTTTGCCTCAAGCAGGGCCACCTCAGGACCTAAATCATCCACCTTTCTGCTAATCCACACTAAGAAAGGCACAGCTTTTTTTAGAGCCGTGTTTTTCAAGCCCTGGATTTTTGAGATGACGCTTTGGAGCTCCCATTTTTGACGCAAGAGAAGCCTTTTTGTTTCAACAATGGCCTGTGTAATTCAGCGATGGCCTTTTTGCCCCAAGAACCTTTCGCGTTTTTCCTCAAAAACAACCTTTTTGACCCAGTAACAGCATTTTTGTCCCAAGAAAAGCGTTTTAGAGGGATGTTTTGCGCAACCTTTTCAATAACCCTCCAGATACCTTCAGATACCTCCTCAGCCCTTTCCTGATCCATATTTTTTCCCCATTTTTCATTATTTTAAATAATTTTGAACCAGAAGGCTTATTAAAATAGGCTTAATCCACTAAATGCTTTAAAAAAATATTGAAAACTGTGGGTTCGCTGACTTCTTTGGCTGTGGGTCTCTGAAGGCAGTAGCTTAAGAACAGCAATGCCGAGTTGTTTCCAAATAATTTGGGAAAAGCACCTGGAATGGCAACCTGTGGATAATGATAAAAGTGACCCAGCCAGGACTCACCACCCCTCACACACAGGAGCAGATGTAGGACTTGAACCTCGTGGTCACAAGCACAAAAGATATCTGAATATGTTAATTTGAGCTTTTTAATGTATATACAAATGTTTTAGACCAGTCACAATTTCATCGAGTATATACCGTATTTACAAAAATTACAATAATTTAGTCAAACAGTAAACCTGAACATTGATAACCTCTGTCACTACCAGATATGACAAGAATGGGGTTTATTTTAGTTAACTATTTGGATATACATACGTCCTAATACTTTCATGCATCCATAAAAACATTAGGGATGGAAGTAATCAAAGCTTAAAGTGGGGTAGAGGGGTGGGTTTGTTGGGGTTTTTTTTTGGTAAAGTTTAATGATGGATTTGTATTTTGTGAATGGATGAGTATCCAGAGTTATGTGCCGTGACAAACTCGATACAAAGCTAATGAGGTTTTCATCATTAAAAAAAGTACGTTATAGTAATGAGATCCTTTTTATTATATTGGCATAGGTCACAATATCTACAAATGTCAATGAGAAACAATAAACCAACAAATCACAGGAACATGATTCACATTCCAGTTATCTCTTTAAATAAGACAAGCACGTACTGGATCAAAACATTAATAAATAACATCCAGTTTGTTACTATTATCTTAAGGTCTTTTATATAAAAGGAGACCTATGTGTTGGTTTCACATTTTCAGTTAATGGCAGTAAATAATGGACCAGTACAACAAAAGGATGAGTTTTATACAGAAAGCCATGTACTTTGACACACTGTCTTTGCAGTAATAGCTTTGCCACTTGAAAATGTAAGTGCAACAAGTAGTGGATTGTCTTGAAAACCACCAGCCTTAAAGACTCACGTCCGATGGCAACCTGTTCCTGAGGCAGTAAATACACATTATTTCCTGCCCATCTTCTGAGTATCCCTCAAATACAGATAGGTATTGGTAAAGAAACTGCTAGCTTTAGTTACTCTACAGAAAAACACCGGAATTTGGGGTGAAGTTTGAATTTCTTTTGAGCTAGGAAAGCTGCTTCAGCTTCAGCAACAGAGAGATTTCCTTGTGATGTTATTGCTTTGGTCCAATAGAAACTTTTAAGATAATCAATTTGCACTGGAGTGACCTCAGAAATCAGACCTGGTCTGTGGATGCCTGTGTGACAGCTCGTACACCATGATCTGAAAAATGAAGTTGCAACAGGTTTCAGCCTGCCAAGAGCCTTGGCCAAGTGCTCTGGAGCTGATGAAGGCATAAAGGTGATACAAGTGGGCTGGGAAAAAGTTCTGAATCCTCAGGAAGGGAAGTGTTACCTAGAAAGTGGGAAGTTTCTAAACCTTCCCAGCACAATTTTAAGTTGTTGGTTTGATGTTTTAAGTTTGATGGTTTCAAGCTGCTGCTGAGGACCATGGGAAATGCAGCACGTGCTCATTCCTCACTTCGACAAGGTGGATTCACCCTTTCCCCCAAAACTGCCGCTAAACAAACCCAGCAAGGGGCTGTGGAATCGAGGGCTCGTTGCCTGCTTCCCGAAGCGCCTGCTGAGGAATTCTGCCTGCACATTTCACTGCGGGACCGTGAGGGGAAGCACAGCATTAATGCAAAAGCAGCGGGCAGCTGCCTCACTGACCCAACCCGGGATCCAGCTTTGGCTCTTTTCAGCCAGACTACACTAGATGAGCAATTAAGCAGCAGATGGTGACTGTTAGGAGTGTGCCTAAACCACAGCTGAGCACTTCAACTGGATAATTCAATCCAAACCCAGGAAAAATAAAATGTACATTGAAGTTTGGGCCTCACCAGCAGTTGTTGAACTCAACTGAAGCGTTGCCATATCACACCACACCAAAATAAAAGTAGGAAATTCACCAGCTACACTTTGTTGGAGACAGACCAATTCCACCTTTTCCCAGCATGTGTTCTCTCTTGTCCCGCTGGAATCCAAGCTAAAATAGAAAAGTTACCAGAAACTGTAACCCTGTGGCTCTGGTAAGGTGAGCCAGATGGCCAGAGTTCCTCTGAGCTCAGGATTCTGGAGACAAGCACTAGGAAACCTCTCTCGTGTTCTTCATGATAAGTATTAGGCTCTTAGTTTTCTGAAACGTCTGAATTTCCAGCCGGAGTTTGGTTGATCTGTGACATTTGTGACAAGAGACTATATAAGCACTAGCACGGGTCTGGAGTGGAGGCTGAGAAAGTACCTAATACAAGGGCTTTTGTCCTTGGTT